CATTTCAATCAGAATTCTATCAACATTATTTTCAATAATTTAATTCTTTCGAGAAAATGTAATTAAAATTATTGTATTGAAAAAATAATTTAATTATTGGTAAAATTTTTATTAAAGTACTTTAAAATAATTGAATTGTTTTAAAGAATTTATTTCAATTTTTTTTATATATAAAAGAGTTTTTTTAAAATAATTTTTACTGGAAATTTTGAAAATAATTTAATTTTAAGAAGAATTTCTCTTAAGTTTTTAAAATAATCGTGTTTGTTATTAATTGTAATCAACGATTTTCTTATTAAATTATATTAAAATTATTCGAATACAAAATTAAATTCTTTTAAGCAATTTTATTAGAGTTTTTGAAAATAATTACATTTTTTTTTTTTAAGAATTTTATTAAATTTCGTGAAAATAATGTAATTTTTTAAAGTAATTTTAATTGGAAATTTTGAAAATAATTGAAATTAACAAAGAATTTTATTAAAAACTTTTGAGAACAATTGAATACATTAGAAAAATTCTATTACAATTTTTAAAAATAATTGAATCTGTTAGTTAAATTTTATTAAAATTATTTGAATATAATTGAATTTTTTTGCTAGTAATTTTATTGAAATTGTATTGAAAATAATTGAATTTCTCCAAAACATTTTCTTATTTATGAAAATAATTAAATTCTTGACAAGAATTTTACAATTTATAAAAAGAATTGAATTGTTTCGAAGAATTTTTTATAATTTGTTGAAAGTAATTGAATTTAAATAATATTTTTAAAAATAATTGTATTCTTTCGAGAAATTTTATTAAAATTGTATTGAAAATAATTGAATTCTTCCGAAACATTTTATTATTTATGAAAATAATTGAATTCCTTTGTAGAATTTTATTATTTACGAAAATATTTCAATTCTTGGGAAGAATTTTCTTATTTATGAAAATAATTAAATTCTTGAATAAGATTTTACAATAATTCATAAAAATAATTGAATTGTTTCGAAGGATTTTATCTGAATTTTTCAAAATAGTTGAATTTTTTGAAGGAAAACCAAAAATTTTGAAAATAATGATTCTTTAAAAAGAATTTCATCAAAATTGTTGAAAATAATTGAATTTCTATTAAAATTCTTGAAAATAATCGAATTTAATGAATATTTTTTAAATAATTGTATTCTTTCGAGAAATTTTATTAAAATTTAAATATTAAAATAATAAACAAGAATATTTAATATTATGTACTTAATGAGTGAATTCTTTACATTTTAAATCTGTAATCATTCAAAAATTGAGGTTTATTCTTGAAAATATAAAATATAATTTAATTTACAAACATAAACATAATTTACAAACTTAAAAAATTTTTACATAACGTAAAAACATAAAAATTTGTTGTAAAAAAACATTTGGGAAGGATATTTTTCAAAAGAGGTGACAATAATATGACCAGAAAGCCTTTAATCAAATAATAAATTTACCACATTTAATAGACGGGAGGTAAAACAAAAACAAACAAGAAAAAATATTCAAGATCAAATCACACGATTCGTAAAAAAAATTAATTGTGCGTTCAATATACAATTTTGCTTAAACAAAAAATTTAATTTTACAATTTTCTAAGAACAGGAAATTGAAACTAATAATTTCTAATTAATTATTCATTAGTATCGATAATTAAAAATTGTTAAATAAATAAAAATGACAGACTTACAGGTGATTGTTATAGACATAATAAACCATTTCGTTTTCAATTGTACACACATTAAAAATGATGAAAAATAATTTATCAATTAGTATCATGCAATGTATCGTGAGAATGACATATAGTTGAATTCTATTTTTTTCTACCTCTTTAAGATTAACTCTTTATTGTGAATGAGTCAACTTATTTCTACAGAACCTTTGTAAAACTTATATTTTTTTTGGACCAAAAAAAATCTGCGTTTACGATTGTTTTCTGCAAAACTACTTTTGTTCTAAAATTATTCCTGGTAAATATTATTTTTATTCGGAGTATACTAACAATTTCTCTACACTAACCGCTTTCTTGAAAAGATCATTAATTTATTAATGTTCTTAATGAAAAGATCACTTTCTTTAAAAAAAAAAGAAATTAAAATGTTTTTCTTTACGATTTTCCGAAGGCATCAAGAATCTTCCTTCCTCAACTTCTGCATTTTTGACGAGGTCATAGTCACATTTTTCAATTTTATTCTCTTATTTTTTTCTCACTTCAAAAACAAAAGGATTTTGTTTTTATAAAAATGAAATAGAAGTTTAGTCTTTATCTATAAATAATACAGTTGATAATTACGTTAACCTATCAACCTAATGCAATATAACTTGTTATTGAAACATCAGACCATTTTCGTTATACACTTATACACATTCACGGAAAATTAATAATTAACATTCAGAAAATTTCAATTTTAATTTCTCTAGCAATAGTAATAAGTAATAATTTGAAATCATTTTCAAAACCAATATTTATTTTTACATTAGATTATATAATCAAACTTTTCTTTTTTTTTATTGTCGGCAAACTTGTAATTCTACGAATAGAAACTACTCCTTTTCGTAAAATAGAGAGTTCTTTGGAGTCGATCATTGTGAATCCGATGTTGGTTTTCAAAAATTCAAAATAGTGGATCCAATATGGCGACTACAAAAATTTTAAAGTTTATCACGAGGCGCATGATTATTCCCCAAATGTTATTTGACCGAACTGTCATTTTACCGAATTGCATTTATCCGAACTGTTATTTTAACGAAATGTCACTTTTGCGAATCGACATTTTTACGAATTGACACTTTTGCGAAATATCATTTTTACGAATTGTCATTTTTTTACGAATAGTTATTGTTCCGAAATGTCATTTTCTCGAATTGTCACTTTTGTGAATCGCTATTTTTACGAATTGTCACTTTTGCGAAATATCATTTTTACGAATTGTCACTTTTGCGAAATCGGATTTCGGAACACTATAACTATTCGCATAAGTGACAATTCGCCAAAATGACAATTCGAAAAAATGATATTTTGCAAAAGTGACAATTCGTAAAAATAGCGATTCACAAAAGTGACATTTCGGAATAATAACTATTCGTAAAAATGACAATTCGTAAAAATGATATTTCGCAAAAATGACTTTTTGCAAAAGTGGCAATTCGTAAAAATAGCGATTCACAAAAGTGACATTTCGTTTAAATAACAGTTCGGATCACACTCACGTAACTTGTTATTCAGGGGTTTATGATATCGCTAATTAAAAATTTTATGTTAGTTTTTAAAAATCCAGAATGGCGGATCCAATATGACGACTAAGAAATATTAAATTTAATCCGATTGTTTGAAACTTATTACTTCTGGGTTTTTGGTATTGCTGATTAAAAATCCAATGTTGGTTTTTAAAAATCAAAAAATGTTTTGGATCCAATATGGCGACAATAAAATTTGATCAGATTCTCTAGAAACTTGTTATTCGAGGGTTTTTGGGGTCGCTGATGAAGAATCCGCTGTTAATTTTTAAAAATTCAAAATGGCGTATCCAATATGGCGACAATAAAATTTTTAAAATTTGATCGGATTCTCTTAAAAGTTGTTACTTGGGGGTTTTTGATATCGCTGAATACGAATCTGTTGGTATTTTTTAAAAATTCAAAATATACAATCCAATATGATGAATATAAAATTTGATTGCATTCTTTCAAAAATTATTATTTTGGGTTTTCAGAGTTTTTAGAAATTCAAAGTTTACGGAAAATTATGAAAAATCAAAATAATAGATGCAATATTTTTATGCATGTCACACTGCTTTTAAAGATTATCACTGTGGGACTTTTTTTCCAAAACATCGAAATGTGAGAGGAAAGGGGAATTATTTTTAATTCAGCACAGACGTCCACGTCGTTGTGTCTGGATAGCTCTAAAAGTAGCACATTGTTTAAATTCAGAAAAATACATTTACCTTACTTGATTAGTGTTAAATTTTAATTCTTATTTTTACTTAAAGAATATTTATTCCTGGAGTATTTCCAAAGAGTATAGTTTGAATATATAATAAATTAGTTTGTTGATAGTTTTATTTATTTATTTTTATGAATTTTAGTTTTAATATAATTTGGTATAATTTACATAAACAATGATTATTGTCACATAAATGTAAGAACACTTCGAAGACAACAAATGAAATAGTTTACTTTGTTATCACTTGGTTTTAAATTTTATATATTTTAATTTTTCTTTGAAATCTGTTTTAATTTTTCTTTTTATTAGAAAATAAGTTTGTCTGGAGAATTTTTTTTGAAAAATACTGATTTCTTTAAGTTTAATATTATGTGTAATGTTTCTCTTAAAAGGAATTTAAAAATTTATCTCCTGTAGGAGTCATTCTTTCAAATGAATCATCAAATGCACGCACAGGAAAAGGAATCTCTTAAATCGCGTCAATTATACATTAGTTGTGCTCTTCATTCTTTTCAAAAGGAAGATGAGAGGAGGGATTCTTTCATTCAACAATATTTTTTTAAATTTAATATGTATCAGTGTAAAAAATTCACAAATCAACGAAAGTAGGTACAATATTCTTACCTTGTAAATATAGTTAATGCTATAACAATTTTTATTAATGACAAATTTATTTTATACAGAAATTTTTATAATTTCTTATCACACGTGAAGTTATATGTATAATACTTGTCCAATATTTATACGAACTTTGGTTTTTTTTAACAATTCAAGCAAAAAAAAAAAAAATTGCATCAACAAATTTTAAACCATTTTCTAACAGTTTTTTTTTTTTTTAAATTCTCCCACCTCTCACCCTCAACATTTTAGAAAAATAAATTTAAAAAAATTTATTTTTGAAAAATGAATTTAAAAAAAAATTAAATTTTGAAAAAACGAGATGCAGACAGATCGATTGCATTGTTGTAACTATCAAGAAATGCAGTTTTAGATATAATATATAATTGTCCATTTGATAAGATATAGTTTTATCTTGCAGAGAGTGGCAGAGAGTTTATGCGGAGAGTGAATTCTGGCGGGATTCTCGAGGGGTAAAGAGGCGATTAAAGACAAGAAGTCGCCTCAGTTCAGAGTGCACATGCTGAGGATACGACAACTCGCTCGTTCAGAGATCTCTCCATCACCATGAGACCCTGGGCGAATAAGAATGCCATTTTTGGAATAACTGGACTCATATTTATTCTCGTTGGGGGATTTTTCTCCATCTATTGGCCTTTTATTTTCGATCACATTTTACACAAGGTGAGAGAATTTTAGTAAAAAAAAAAGCAATCACTCTATTTGAATAATTCAATTTTTTACTTGTGTCTAAATTCGATTTGAATAAATATTCTATTCTTTAAATTTAAAAAAATTTATTAAAATAAAAAAATATCTATTAATAAAATAAAAATATTCAATATGAAATGTCAAGAAAATTATTAATCCTCCAAGTCAAATGATAAATTCTACAACTATTTAAAAATATTCAATATTAAAAGAAACATATTTTTAAATAAGAATACAAATATTTAAATATTGAAAACTAAAACAAATATATTTTTAAATAAAAATACAATTATTTAAATATTAAAAACTAAAACAATTTTTAAATAAAAATACCTACAAATATTTAAATATTAAAAACTAAAATAAATATTTTAAAATAAAAATACAAATATTTAAATATAAAAAATAAAAAAATACTAGACCTAGTAATTTTTTTCTTCTTCAGTAAATAAATTAAATCCTCTTTCCAATTTTAGGAACTGACATTGTCACCAACGTCGAGGGCCTATGAAATTTGGCAAAATTCAAGCAAACTTCCAGTGCATTTGAAAATTTATTTTTTCAATTGGACCAATCCTGAGGATATTGAAAATCCCGAAAAGAAACCAAATTTCGTTCAATTAGGACCTTACAGTTTTCTGTGAGTAATTTCTTATCGCACAAATTTGAAATTTTCTGAATCAAACAACAAAATTATTATTAAACTATTAAGTTACAAAAAAATTAGCAAATGGAATTTTTGTTTTGAAGAATTTATATATAATTTTTAAATTTTACTTCGATTTTTTATTTTTAATTTAAAATTAAGTATTTTTGTTATATTATTGATTCATTTTTGTTTTAAGGCAATTAAAGTTTTCAATTAAAAAATTTACATATTTTCCAAAAGGCAAAAAAAAAAAATTTAGTTTCAATTTGACAAATTTGAAATTTTTCGAATTAAACTACAAAATTATTATTAAACTATTAAGTTAGAAAAAAATTAACATGGAATTTTAGTTTTGCAAAATTTAAATAATTTTTCAGAATTTCTCTGTTATTTTTAATTTTACTTCGGTTTTTTTATTTTTAATTTAAAAAATGTAATTTAAAAATTTTAATTTAAAATTAAGTATTTTTGTTATACTATTTATTCATTTTGTTTTAATGCAATTAAAGTTTTCAATTAAAAAATTTACATATTTTCCAAAAAGCAAAAAACCAAATTTAGTTTCAATTTGACAAATTTGAAATTTTCTGAATTAAACTAGGTATAAAAATATTATTCAACTATTAAGTTACAAAAAAATTAACATACGGAATTTTAGTTTTAAAGAATTTAAATAATTTTTTAGAATTACTTTGTTATTTTTAATTTTACTTCGATTTTTTATTTTTAATTTAAAAAAATTGTAATTTAAAAATGTAATTTAAAATTGTAATTTAAAAATTTTAATTTAAAATTAAGTACTTTTGTCATACTTTTAATTCAATTTCAAGGAAAATATACAAATTATATAAGAATTAAACAATAAGAATTTTTACATTCTAGAAAAAATTTAATTTAAACAAAAATTCTCAAACAAAAAACAACATCCAGTATAATTATGCAAAACTGATTTTTATGTAGAATTTTTTATATTTTCTTTCGACAATTGAGAAAAACTTTTTCATTAAATTACATAAGTATTGTCCCAGATATATTGAATGAAGGAAAAAAAAATTCACAAGAAATATATGTATGCTAATATAAAGAATCTATCAACGATTAGTAATAAATGATTAAATAGTTAACCTTTTTAAATTGACATTTTAATCGTAAAATAAAATGACTTTGATTAGACGCTTGTGTGCGTAGGCATCTATTAAGATCTAAATAAATAATTGCTTAATTCTAATTACCATCATTAATAAATTGAGTTACACGAGTGAGATGATTTTTTTTAAACTGATTCGCAGCTTTCAATAAATGCCTTTTTATCATTTTATTGATAAGCCTTTCTTATTTATACAAACATTCCTTTTTATTTTGCAAAAAAAAAGAAAGAAAATGAATTATAGCAAAAATTTTTAGTTGAAGAAAAAATTAACTTTTCTACTACTTTATTAATAAAAAAAAGATTTTAAAAAATTGATCGTTTTCTTACTTTGTTAAACAATTATATATCAAGTAGCAAATAAAAATTGAAAAATAGTTCTTTTTTACTATTTTTAATTTTCTTATTTTTTTCTATTCTTTATTTTATTATTTTTATTCTAAATTTATTTTCACTTAGTGTTATTAGCGTTAACAGTGAAGCTTCCTAAACGATTAGTCACCAATTTTTGCGTCAATCTGATTCCCCACAATTAATTGGGTCAGAGAGTCAAATTATTTTCTTCATATTACTCCAAAAGATCCAATTATATTTTTATTTCAGAAATTCGATAAAAATTCAAAGAAGAAGACTCATGTTTCTTATTTAGAAATGTGATATTTTTTTCTCAAATTTCACGCATTTGATATTTTTTTTTTAAAAATTATAATAATTAATTTTCAAAGTTATCACAATTTTCTTGAAAGTATCAAAATAGTAAAGGGGATCAAAATTGATGCCAAAAAATTTAGATCAATTTTTGATTTGACCCACATTCTTGGTATCAATTCATCACTTTGTTTCAATTTGATACTAAGTTAATAACAGGCGTATTTTAAATTTTCTAAATTGAAAAAAAAAAATAAAATCTGTATTTTTCTTGCAGGGAAGTGAGAGAGAAGGTGAATGTGACATTTCATCCAGAAAATGGAACAGTTAGTTATTTTCAACGAAAATTTTGGCGTTTTGACGAAAAGATGAGCAATGGATCATTGGACGATATAATCGTTCAACTTAATGTCGTTGCAATTGTAAGAAAAATTGTCAATAATTACTTTTATTATTTATGAATATTAACCATTGTAAATTTTATAAATAATGTTTTGATTCTTCTGTTTGGCCTAATGGCTTTAGGCCATTAGACCAAACAGAAGAATCAAAACATTTTTTTATTTATACAATTATATGTCTTTCAAAAATATTGAATTATTAAAATTTTTACTACTATTTTTGTTGATAATTTTGCAAAAAATATTTAAAGAAAATTAAAGTTAATGTTACTTTTCCTTCTGTTGGGAAAATGAACAATACAACTACCGAGGAAAAAATAAATAACATCATTAAAGAAAAATATTATTTGTTCACTGTAAAGGAAGTGCACTCTCCAATTCTGCGCAAACATTTTGTTTTAAAATAATATTTAATTTTTTCTTATACTAACATGAATTTATTTTCCACAGACGCATTGTTTTTCTCTTCTCGTTATAAAATAAAAATCTCTTTTTTTTCAGACTGCAGCAAGAAAAGTGTTGACACTGCCAGCAATGTATCAAGGTGCATTTGCCCAACTTATGGACACAATGAACATGAAACTTTATAATGTGAAAACAGTAAACGAATTGACATTCAAAGGATATGTCGATCATTTGATACAATTAAAAAATACCGTCCCATTGGATGGTGACGATTCACCGCCTTTCGATCGTTTCGGATGGTTTTACATGGTAAATAATTTATTTTAATACAGTGACTGAGATGTTTAAATTTCTTTTCATAGAAACTTTGCAATTTTTCCTCTTCGAAATGTATGGAATGTATGGAAATTTAATAATTAATTTGTGTAATATGAAGAAACTTCCGGTTTCGATGGTTTTAATTAAATTTATTGACGCAAAGGATTAATTAAAAATTAGCGTGGGACAAATAAAAGACAATTTCAATTGGGAAGCGTTTAGACATATACATATAGCCCTTCACCAGTTCCTCTATTAGGTCTACAACAAAACTAGACTGCTCTGAATTAACAGTGAATGAAATAGGTCACTCAACTACAAACTGTAGCGAATTATGAATGAAAAGCAATCGACACATCAAGAATGAACAATAAACTCCCTTAGTAATGCGATATAATCTCTCTTTTTTTTCTGTAACAAATAACAGAAATATTCATTTTCCTAACGATACTATTTTTTTGAATTAGAATTTGTATTTTAATATTGGAACTGAAAGACTGAAATTATTTAGTATTGGAACTGAAATATAGAAAAAAATATATTTATCTCTGAAGGTGAATTGTTTAATAACGATTCTTTTTCTTTTTCTAGAGAAATGGATCGACAATGTTCGAGGGTCACATGAATATGGAAACGGGAGAGAAGGACATTTCGAAAATTGGAGTTGCAAGACGATGGAATTATAAAGATACTATGAAATTTTATAAAGTTCCTTGTAATACTGTCGAAGGAAGTGGAGGAGAATTTTGGCCACCATTACGAAATTTTGGTGACTTCTCGTCTCCTTTCAAAACAAACGATATTAGTTTATTCAGTGCGGATTTATGCAGGCAAGTAAAGAGAGATTTATGCTACTTTTTCTATCTCCCTCTTCTTGAAGTTTATTTATTTTCAAATTTTTAATTTATCGTAGAGTTGTCCCATCCAGCAGAATTGTTACTTTTTACTCACCTAAAAACCACAAATAAATAAATCAACAGTGTCCTAACTTCTAAACAGTCCCTACTACTCTTTATATAAAGAAATACAAGTACTCATTGAATATAATTTTTCCAGACCTTTGACATACGAGTTCAAGCGTGAAGTGAATCACAAAGGTATCAGCGGCTATCAATTTACGCTCGATCGTAAAACATTGGGTAACAATACGAAAAAACGTTATCCTCACGAGCAGGCGAGATATTTTGTACCAACAACGACTACGGAGGACTTCTTTTCCGCGGAACCTACCTCTCAATCAATTGAAAGTGAAGAAGATCCAGATGTCGTGAACGTAGGTCAATGCTTCTGTAACGGAGATTGTAGTCCAATGGGTCTCATGAATATCACTGCCTGTCGTTATGGTGCACCAGCATTCGTTAGTCTACCTCATTTTCATAAAGCTGATCCCATTCTAAGAGAGCGAATCAATGGAATGAATCCCAAAGATGATGAACACAACTTTTATATTACGTTAGAGCCCGTAAGTGTAGTATTTGAATTCAATTTTAGACCTGTATTCGAAAATCTGTACAAATAGAAGAAAAAGAAATATCTTTAAACTATTTTACAGACTTCAGGAATTCCTTTGGACGTAGCAGCAAGATTACAAGTCAATATTTTGTTGCAACCATCTAAATTTGCATCGTGAGTGTGATATTCTTTTTTCTAGCAAAAAACTGTTTTTAAAAAACAATTTAGTCTACATGCCTTCAGAAATTATAGTATGAAATCTTTTCAGGTTCATGAAGAATGTTCCTACGATCTACTTTCCAGTATTTTGGTTCAGTTTAAGAGCTGGCCTCCCTGACGAAATGACTGGACAAATGAAGATGTTAGTCATGACACCTAGCCTAATGCATTATGGTAGTATAGCACTTTTATTCATTGGATCATTATTCGTTTTGGGCACTGCAATAATGTGCTATTGTCATCATGGAAAAACAGGATCTTCGGTAAGTGTAGAGAAATATTTTCTATTACGTCTAAGGTACGTCAATCTACTATTTACAAAGCCGAACTGTTGCGATGACAGTTTCCCCAGTCCTAGGACAGTCTTTCTCAACCTACCCAGGAGAGGACATGTCTTTAAGAAATCATGTCCTTTAAAAGTATAATTAAAATTAGGGTTTTAATCATTTCTGCAGAAAACTTTTCTGCAAATGTTTGTTTGCGTAAGTAGCACTATCATCATTATATTATATTTTAACATTAAATATAAGAATAAATTTATTAATTTTTAAATCTTCATTAATTACTTAAAATTTTGACAAAAACTTTTAACCCTTTACAAACGTATAAGCACAACTCAACGTTACCAGCAAACAAAGGCCACATTTCTTTAATCCTATCTAAAAGAAAAATTCTTATTTTAATTTGACATTTGTTATAATAAAATTTTCTTTACAGGAATCCTCGACAAGAATGTCAGTTACATATCCAAATAGAAAAGCAGAGCTAGTTTATATGGATAAGACTGATAATGAAGATCCACAAATAAAGAGCAATCGACGTTTATATCCAAAATTGTAAATTTTCTCTTTAGGTCAAAAAAGTGATAAAATATTTTTTAATGACTCACCTTAAAAAAGGGGCATTCAATGAAATCAATATTTAACGTGATAATTAATTGCCGATGAAAGACAAGGAAATATTCCAATTTAAATACAATTCATTTATAGAAACAATTTTGAGCCAAGACTGTGATGAAAAAAAATATTTTTGAACACTTTTCTGAATTTTTTTTTTTTTTTTAATAGTTAAAACTGTGAAATGTTTTTACACTGAAGTGCCAAATTATTCTTTTTTTTATAAACTATGATAGCAATCAGATGCTAAATGAAATTTATATACATTTTTTACTATATAGAATTCTTTTAAAATTCTTTCAAAAAATCGTTTTTATAATAAATTCTTTACATATAGAAATATTTTTACTGAAATATTTTTCACTAAAATATTTTTAAAATACTGAAACAATTTTTAAAAACAATATATTTTTGAATTTTGTGACAATTTTTTCTGAGTTTTGAGAGAGAATTTTATAATGTACAAAGAAAATACATTAAAAACACTTTGTAAAGTAAAAAATTGAAAACAATTTAGAAGAATTCTTGAAGATTTAGCAAAATTTTCAGATATTTGCAAAAAAGTAAAATATTTTGAAATTATCCGATTTCAAAAGTTCGATTTTGTTAAATTTTTATAAATAAACAAATATCGTATAGATATAATATTTATAAGGGACCAAAAGTTTAAGTTTTAATGATTGCCCTTAGTCTTCATTAAAGGGGACAATAACTATTTTGAGACAATGAGAATAATCGTCAATATTTTAAATGACGAGACAATATAGTTACCTAATTTCAATGACTGCAACAAAAACCTAAGTAAGATATAAATTAAAAATTAAACGAAAATTCAAGCTCATTATAAAATAAGTAAATTATATAAGAATATCCTTTAAGTAGCTTTCAAAAAAAATTCAAAATAATGAAAAAGAAAATTTTTTTTGAAAACAAATTATTTTCACAATTCAAAATAATTGTGAATTTTAATGTAATTAATATAAGAATTTGTTTTTCACTTATTATCATAATTCTAATTAGAAAATATTTGATTATAAAAGATTCATCATTCAAAAAAAAAAAAAAAATGAACAAATATTCTCTGATTTTTATTTTCTATTTTATTTTAAAATAAAAATTGAGAAATATTTGTGCACCTCATTTAGTGGAAAAAAATTACATAATAATTTATAAAAAACACAAATCATGAACAAGAAGAAAATTCGTCCTTACATACACTGTGCCATGCCATGTTTATTAGCTTGTAAACTATTAATGTAAGATTATTGTAAAATAGAGTTGTTAGCTTCAGAGTTTGAAAGACTTTTTTATCTAGATAAATATTTTGCTACAAAAAGCGGTGCTTAAGAGGAAATCGAGATTCTTTATAAAAATAAGAATTTGAAAATATTTTTAAAGAAAAGAAATTCAAAAATTTATTAATATTATAGAAAAATAGAAATATTTTTTTATTATTAAAAATATATTATGTATATCACCTCTGTTAATCCAGATTATTGTTTTTAATTTCTGCACAAAATTTAATTATTCTGCGATTAATAATAATTTTTGAAAATTGTCATCACGAATATTATTGTAAAGACAATCGACGTTTATGATTTGTAAACAAAATTGTACAGACAGTAAAAATCAAAAATTGTAAACGTTATGCGGAGATAAATAGAAAATGGATTTTATACTTTGTTTTTTTGTAATAAAAAAAAAAGAAAGGTGTTATTTTTATTACTCGTGAATTTAATTTTATGAATAAAATATGTATAAAGTTTACGAATATTAGAAAGAAGAATCGAAACCTCGAAATAAAAGTTTTTATATCAGAAAAAAATGGAAATTATTATTCCTAATCTTTTAAAATAATTTTCACTTGCTCATTTATTTTAAATAAAAATGAAACTAATTTTTTTTCATTTTCACTTTCATTTTCACCAGAAAGAAAATTAATTTTTTTCTATATATTTATTTTTATCCAGAACTAAAACTTCTTTTTTCACATGTTAATTTTTTTTTATTTACACTTTTCATTTTCACCAGAAGTAAAATTACTTTTCTTCACTTGCACTCTCACTTTCATTTTCACCAAAAACTGAAATTATTTTTATTAAAAAAATAAAAAAGTATAAAAAATAAAAAAATAAATGATATAATGTAATATAAATATTAAAAATAAGTAATAATAATTTCTTTTGAAACTTTATTTCCTTGTCCTTAAAACAAAAGTTTTTCTAATATTTTTCTCGAGTTTATTATTTCAGGTAAAAAACTTTTTTTGTGCATTAAATTCATATTTACTTTTCTGTCACTAGTAAAAAAGTCTTGGCTTAATAAAGAATTTATTTCTAGCAACTTATTTCTTTTTTCTCTTTTATTAAAAAAATTTACTTCTAAATAACAAAAACAAATTGTTTTTTCAATTTCAGTGTATTTTCAACTTTTTGTTTAATTTTCCTAATTCAAAAAATAGAGAAAATTTATTTAATAATTTCTCTCTTTTTTTTTAATTAGGAAAATTTTACAAATAAAGTTTTTGAAAATAAAAATGCAAACAATTATTGAAAATTTTGAATTAAATTTTACATTAGATAAATATATATATCTATTTAATCTTTTCTTTCATTAAAATAGCCCATTATTTTCCACACGAAAAATGAAAATAAAAAATTAATTTTTTCATTATTATTTTAGTAACAAAAATTTTTTTTCAAAGATTTCTTTTTTCCCATTAAAAATATTATTATCGAGGGCAGAAAGTAGAAAAATCCTCATCAATAGATTCTTTGTGAAAATATTTTGAAAATAAAAGCATAAACAACTTAGAATTTATTTCGAGAAATATTTTAATGGTTTCTTAAAATTATATTGAAACATAGTTTTAGTTGAAAAACTAAATCTCAGATTTAAGATAATTTTTATCTAGTGTTACTGGGTTAAAAGAACTTATAATTCCCAGCATTCTTTTCGAGGGAAATTTGACACCATGGGACACATTTCATGCAGATGTTTTTTAAGAGTATGTGTAAAGTCAGAGAGATTTCTCATTTAGTCACTCATATACTTTATGTTCATTTACATGCGATAATTAATAAAAATAATAATAATAATTAATATTAATAACATAATAATTATTATTAATTATTATTTGTTTAAGTTTTGCCCTTTCGTACACATTACTTTTATAATAATAATTTTTTTTAATTTTTGAAAATTGATTTTTAATTTAAGTTTTTGATTATATACACTAAAAAAATTTATTTGCTTCAAATAACAAATTACTTGTTTATTATCAAATAAATATTTACTTGAATCAAATAATTTTTATTTAAATCAAATAAATTTTTTTTTGAACCAATAATTTCGCAGTATTTGAAGGAAATACTATTTATTTGTTCTATATAAAAATTATTTGTCACTAATATTTTAGTAAAATAGTATATTAGTATTAAATAATACAATATTTATTTTAATTAATTTTATTTACCTATTCGAATTCATAAAATAAATTAATTGTACTAAAAATTTTTTCTTTTTAATAATTTCTTTTTAAAATAAAAAATCCAAATATATTTGAATTAAAGAAATAGTTTCAAGTATTTATTCGTGTTAAGTAAATTAATTTATTAAATTCGATTAATTATTCACTTGACCTAATTAAGATTTACTTGTTTAAAACTTTAAATTAATAATTATTTATTAATATTCATATTTCCTACTTCTGATTCAAAATAACTCAAGTTATTCGTCTTATTTACATTTTTTAGACTCTATTTAAAAAATTTTTGAAACTAGTAAATATTTTTCAAATATAAATTCAAGTAATTGACTCGTAATTTTTTTTCATTGTATATATAGAGCAAATGCCTCGGCCCTGACCGTCGTTGGTATTGATGCGCCTACCCATTTCGTGTTAAAAAACCGAAACAGTGAATTTTCAAGCTAATCCCAAACAAATTTTCTCTTTAAATTCAGAAATTTCAAAAAAATAAAAATTTTTCTCTCATTTTCAAATAAATTTCCAATAATTTATTAAAGATATTAAAAAAAAGAGGATAAAAATACAAAAATTAATAAATAGTTCTTTTTAACTTATAAACATTTTAATTTTTCAGTCCTAGTGCACCGAAAATTGTAAGTTTAACTATAGAATCTCAAATTAAGAATATTTTTGTGTGGAAAATATATTTTTTCAAAAATTAACAGTATAATGAAAAATTTAAATTACTTCTACGATATAGTATTATTATTTTTATTGTTATTGGTGAATGCTAATCAACTTTTTAAATACCTGTTTTGACGGTATGTATAATATATGTATAGAGGTAAAAGATATCAAATGTTAACAACAAATAGGTATATTTATACAAAAAATATTAACAATTTATGTAAACAGTTTTCTTTTCCTTGTCGCATTTAAACATTTCCTACGAATAGAAGTTTTTTTAAACTTTCAATTTTACAACTATTACACGCAATTCAAGTAAAGGAAAATAAAAAAATTACCTTTTTAAAAAAATCCCATAAAAGTTCAAGAAAAAATTTAAAATTTTGAAATATTGCATCGAAATTTTCGAAATATTCTCGAAAAATGATGAAAACATAAAAATGAAATGAATATGAAGAATGAAATAATACATGATTCCATTTTTGAAGTTTATGTGTTTAAATAAATGAAAAATCTTAATGGAAAGTGCTTCATATTTCCATTCTTTCTTTTTGTTTTTACAAAATTTTATAAATTTTTAACATCGAAAAACGTTTTTAGTTTATTGTACAATGACTCATATTCTCTATTTCAAGAATTATATTCTTTCATTATTAAATATTCTTTATATCTATTATTAAAAAATACAAATCATTTCTTTTTACTGCAAACAATTTTAGTTTTCGTTCTACTTTTTTTGAAAATAAGTTTCATTTTAATTTCAGTATATAGAAATTTAAAGACAATGTCAAAGTTTTAAATATCTATTTTTTTGTTAGAAAAGATAAAAGAAATTATGAAAATTTCTGTATTTCTCTTTTTTTTTGTTTTCAATTATGTAATAATTTTTTTTATATAAAAATTTTTAAAAAATATTTTTTTTTTCGAAATATACCTCTTTTTAATGTAAATTGTACTAAAGGCGGAGACTAACAATGAATATATATATAGTAAATAAAGTAGAAAGGAATATTTATATGATCAAAATCTAGAAATTAACTGGATTCTATGAAAATAAACAAAATTACGCACGAGGGGGATCGAACCGTCGACCAACGGGCTTATAGATTAACG